TTAAACCAGTAGTATTTCCCTCCTTTTTCCTATTGGTGTTATTAGAGACTACGTAGGTACTCCGTACTAACTGCCAGTACTAGCTATGGATCTGATCAACATACTACTAATGAGGTACAGCAACTACTTCACGGAAATAATACTAAGCCACCCCAACGGTTCAAGGGAAAGTTTTGACACAACCTCCGTGTGAATAACTACGGTGTTGACAGCCAAAGAGCTTGAAAAGCAACGGGGCCTAAGACTCCGTCATTCGGTGGTCACCATCACTTCAGACGGGAGGTCCAGGCCTGAGCCTTAATGTCGACCCACTGACACAGTACCTCCTAGTCCCCGCTTCTAGCGATCGTTAGACGGGCCCTAACTGAAGTATGGCCAGGGGTTGGGCCGCGTTTCTCATATGATTCTGTACTGTATGTTTGTACGGGTGTGTAATGGACAAACCTACTAAGGTATGTACAGTACTACTAAGGTAAAGGTATGTATTCTCATCCCACACAAGGGCCCCTCATAAATCATGGCAGACACCGTCTTAATTAATGTGATGTGTACAGTACTCCGTATGCTCTCATTGCTCTGTGTCAGAACCAGTCCATTCAGTACTCCGTACCTTTGATACATTGAAGATGATGACCACTGATATTGTAGATGGCCACCGCGGCGGGGAGCAGCCTTCTCTGCAGTTCAATGCTTCTTTGTTTCTTTCTTTTTCTTTTTTTTTTCTTCTTAAAACTTTAATTCCCTTCCTTACTAGGAAGTACGAAGTACGGAGTACATATGCATACATACATACATACATATAAGCAATCTAAGAAAAACCTACTCCGTAAGGTACCCTCTAATGTTTGGGTGGTCATGAAGTCGATTGGTTGTGTAACCTTAGGCAGCATGGACAATGGTTAGTACTCTTGCTACTCCGTACCTACTACTACTACGTAGTGCTACCTACACCGTTCATGCAGGTTGTTATCTACATTGGGGTATAGTTCATCAAGCTCCATTTCTGAGCGTTAGGTACCAATCCCACCAACAGTGGCTAACCATGTAACATGTGGCTGACCGCCAACAGAGAAAGTCAATATCACTGAGGCAAATGGTATGACTATTTAAGGTGCATGTACGGAGTAATGTCTTGAATTATGATGGAATAATTGAGACTGGAATTCGAGAAAAAAGATAGAGGGATTCATAATGTACTCCATACATATTTAACATTTTACCAACACTAATCCAATGTTAACTGGCTAATCTAATTCTGCTACTGGGTAGGTTCTATGGAGTACCTCAGTACGCCGTACTCCTTGATAACCTGAATCTAAATTGATTTCCTAGATCTGTAACTCATCCGAGTGGTGGAAACGGGTGGAAATCCCAACCACCACTTAAACGAACTAGATAGAAAGAGAAAGAAAATTTGAAATTGAAATTGGAGTTGAGAATGAAATTAAATTAAATGAAAATCCATTGTTTCGAAAGATACCTCAGGGTGTTTCGAACAGTGTATCGGGACCCTTCTTTGTCATAGGTTGTGTGACGTGTAGATTAATGCTGCCAGGTATGAAAAATACTTTGAAGACGACTGGCAAGCGAAAGACATAACAGAAACAGAGCAAGACTTTGAGGGTTTTGGAAGAGATAATCCCCTGAGTTTGAGGACTCGGTTCACCGCTACGGTATTGGATATTGGCGCAATAATATGCATACTCAGCTGCTGACCTACTGACCAACTGAATGGGACTTAGGTTGGAATACTTTCCTACCTTACTCCGTACAGAGCAGTGCATTTTCTGTTAAGCTACTACTCGGTAAATGGTCCAATACCTGATTCACATGATTTCCAACAGATAATCCAGCATATGCACTGTACATGGATGTACATACATCTATACATAGTTAGTAGAACACATTTCAAATGCATCTCTTGTCTTCTAGGACAAACTTCAAAGATGCTGAATGTATGGAGTATGCATGTATCTGCTATGGACATGCAGACAGTACTACTTACAGGTCGAGTCCATGAACCATGCCAATTATCTGGAGTCAGCACGCATCTGCATGCTATCTGTGAGATTGAATCCAAGCTAGTTGATAACAACAGTCCAGTCCAGGGCTGAGACTGGTGTAGTCGGTTACTACAGGGGCTGATTTTTTCTGTAATGCTGTGGTGATCTCACCACGAAGTTGAACCTGTACAACATTATCAGTGTCCAATAGCGTGCTGGTGATGCTCAAAGATTCCATCTTACCTGCTTCAAGGTTGTAATAAACAGTGTACTTTACAGAATGGCCGTGTAAGTGTGATACTTGAATCTTCACATAGATATACGAAGTACAGAGTAGTATGTAACTATACAATGCCACGCATGATATGCTTAATCTGGTTGCATACTCCATATAAATACCAATCTCAAATTATCAATATCTCACATGTCAGATATCTCCACAATCTTTCCTCCAAGGGCCAAAAGTGTATGAATCCAGGACTTAGCGCAACCGCAAATCTCAGGAGCATGAGTTCAGTTTGGTACTTTTGTTTCCATCTTAGTTTAGGAGACAAATACTCATAGGGGATGAGTAGACAAACGGTACTCCGTACATACCTCAAAAAGGAAATTATGGATCACATCATGGATCCCACCATCTGGTGTCCATTAGGTGTGGGCATTCTCTCTCTGGTTTTCATGCGATTTTTCTTCCTTTCCCCCTCCTCTCTCTCTTTTTTTTAGTTTTCTTTACTCTGTCACTGTTTCCTCATTGGTTAATACTAAGAATGCCTCATCAATAAGTTACGCGCTGTGAATCATCTTAGATATCACAATATAGCACAATTAATGTAAGCCGGATTACTACAGCATATTGCCCCAGTGACATATTCCCTAATCTTAAAATGTCAGACTTCTACACGGGTAACAGGGGTTTCAAACTTTGAAGACAAACTCCTGCCGTTTGCACCAACAAACGGAAATGAGAAGGGGGAAAAAAAAAGAAAGAAAAAGAAAGAAAGAAGAAACCCCCCCAAGGAGAGATTGTCAACCCACCAGGCAGACTGGCTCATTGCAGAGAAAGGCCCATTTCCGTTAGCAAGTCGGAGCGGAGAACACACTGCACACAGGATCCATCCATTAGTAGCCACGCCGCCACGTCGGGAAACAGAGAGTGGAACATAGTGTGGGTCTTCTGATTGCATCGGAGTGTTCGGGGAACACGGATCTCCACTCGGCGCAGGCCCGTCCCTACTAGTACCCGACAAGCCAGCCATGGGTCAGGTCTCTCAATGAACCAGTAGAATTCGGAAGGATGAGGTCGCTGAACGGAATGGGACCATCCACACACAGTGGAGGTACCTAGGTACTCCGTACCTAGGGAAAGAACCTGGCCCTCCTCACCCGAGCCACTTTACCTATTAGTTGGTAACAATTTAGCATGCGGCTAACTGATGACGCCGTTTTAGAAGGTCTGTGGAGGTTCGTGGAAACGGTAGAGAAGGGATTGGACTCATTGGAAACACCGGATTGTCCCTTTAGTTGGTTTGTACGGAGTAGTGTCATCGAGAAGGATGTATATTGGCCAGCAGCTCGTCTACCATACTGGTTAGAACGGGCTAATTCCAATGGTGTTCCCGTGTTGCCGTGGAGGATTAACAAGCGATCCCCTGTACTACGTACGGAGTACTATGAGTCTATGGCACGGGTACTCCGTAGTCATAGACCATATACGGAGTAGATCGCTATCAATTGCCACCTGACATACGGAGTAATAGGGGATCAGTTGTTGCCTCCTACCGACAGGTGATCAAAGTACTGCCCAACATAATGGATTCGATCCGTCTTCCGTCTTATACTACTTTAGTATCTGCCCGCTACCAAGGAATATCATCCAGCGTATCTTGGCGCTAAAAAAAAAAAGCATATGGTTGCTCAATCCTACATTTTGCCTTGCAGTAGACCGAGGGTATCTGCATTGATTCCACTTGAGGTGCATGTCAGATCTTTCTTGGGAGCCCCTAGAAACAATTTTGAAAAATCGAGTAAAGCGACCAAACTTGAACTAAAAGTAAGTTTCTCAAGGACGTTGTATCCCTTTTTCTTCTTTCTTTTTTCGCACTGGCACTCCTTCCGTTTACCCTGTTGATTACGGAGTAATTTTCACTTATATCATGATCCCACATCGGTGTTGTTCGTTATCTATTGCAAGACGATCAATACTTCCCGAAAAATAGTGAAATATCTTCCCCATGTGTAGAATAATACGGAGTACTCCATAGTTGCATAGCTGTAAGTTATCATTTATTTGAAGCCTCCATGCAAACCCACTTTTTACGGTTCTAAAAAAAGATGACTGAGAAATTATCAGTTACTAATCTATTCCCACCATGACATTGTTCTTGAGGGGCTTCATTATGCTAAAGTTAGCAAGTTAAATAATAGGGGTTAAGACTGATCTATACGGAGTACACGGTTTCTCAGTTTTATGGAATACTTGTATCGCTCAGTACGGAGTACCTGGTCAACACTCACAGCCACCTTAATATAAACTTACTCTAATATGAGCCAGTCCTTCTGTAATCCCCAAATCCCGAGTTCCTAGAAAGTGAGACCGCTGATTTGTCCCTTCTTGTCCGTTTGGTTCGTGAAACTGATCAGATTGTTTTTGATCGAGTCCCAACTTAACCAATAGTATCTATTCCAGCGGACAGGGGATTTCTTCACGGGAGTTCCACTGCCAGCCCGCGCAGCAAATATCTATTTCCCTGGTCATTGGCTGTAACTCGAAAACATACCCTGTTTTTCATGCAGGAATGACAACACCATTTCTTCATGATCCGATTCCACGTTTTTCAGCTACTAATTGGACGGGTTGCCCCAGTACAAAAGGATATCTTTCTTGGTCGCGTACAATTCTCATTGGGTGCAACCCCCCGTCGCAATCCGAAGAGACATCCATCGCATTCTAGAAAAGCGGTCGGGTGTCCAAAAAAAAAAAAAAAAAAAAAAAGTGATAGCCCCCGGCGAGGCTCGAACTCGCAGCCTCGAGATTAGACTATGGTTCACTGTTAGCATGGTGGATCATTAGATGTAGGGTTTTTGATTGGACATACAGTCTCGCGCGCTACCGATTGCGCCACGAGGGCCCTCGTTGAGCGCTGAATTTGAAATCAATGTTATAAGAGCCTTACCAAAGATGGTGGCAAAAAAGAGCACCAGCGACCCGGAAACTTTGGAAACAGCTTATATAGACTTACTAGCAGAGAAAACTACCCATAATTAAAAGAAGAACCATCTACGGAGTAGTCCAGCCAACTGATACAACTCTTAGCGGGGCCACCCGCAACCTAGAGAGTCCCGCCGGTGGCTTACATTGGAACTCTCCACTCCGTACGGAGTAGGCAGGATACAGTACATACATACAACCTATCAGGTAGAAACCCCAAGCCCTACTATTGCGTTACAAGGTTCTCCTGATTAAACGGAGGGGAAATAGTAGACAGACTCGGTGGCAATGGGAAGAAAAATTAAAAAAGGAATTGGTCAGCCCCTGGCAAGATCACTCGCGAGTTCCAGTTGTGACGGATAGATAAGTTGACTGTTGAACCTCTGCTATATGGATAAAAGTACTTGCTATTCTGCTTTGGACGCGGTGTTTATCCGGTCTAAGTATGGTACTAATCCTTGTAACTCTTACAGAAGGCCGATGAAGCGTAAAATGATCCAAAGGCCAGAATTAGCAGAAATATAGATCATTTACTCAAACAAGGATCTTGTCAGTTGAGGTCAATAATATCTTGCCCCTTCTTGGATACTCAGCCATTGAGCATGTGGGACCGTTATGGAGCTCAAATATTACTAACAATTCAATAAATCTTGGGTAATACGTCGCATAGAAACTCCCAACGTATAATAAAATACAAAACAAGCCCAGTCCGGCATCCATGAAGATATTATCCCCATCCTAGGTATTAATAGAATTACCCGACCTAAACGACCTAATAGTTTGTTAATACAATACGTCCCAACCTATATGGTATATAGTAGTACTTATGTACACGATGATTCACCGATTGGGGTTATATTGCCGAAGATGAGCATCCTGCTGGGAAAACGATATGGACAGTCTTATGTCGCTTGAACTACTAACTACTCCGTACTCAGAGTTCCACCTGTAAACTTGGCATATCTTGTAGATAGTCCAGGCTGACAAGAAAGCAGATGGATCTTCTGTCTAAATAATGGAATCGAGTCATGTGCTAGATCACACCATGCCCGAAACATGCGTCTTACCGACCGAGTCCACTGATCTCTTGCTACCTGCCCAGTATTCAGCATTTGTATCATCCGACCTGATATGTGGACAGTCTGACAGCGTCCCTCGAGCGACTAGCAGCGTCAAGACTCTAATCTCCGTGGTGCTTGCCGTATACTATTCAAGCCGTGCAATGTCAGCCCATTTGGCCGCATATGCATGACACCGACATTTGCCTACGCTGCTAATAATTATCGAGTACCTAGGTAACCCACAATGGATTTACAGTCGACAAACTGTTCGAATATAGTTCTATCTGTGGATACCCAACCACTCCGTACGGCTGAGGTTGCCGAGGGTTGTGTGACCAGTTTGAAAACGTGACAGGGTCTGCGATGACTTGCGAATGTATAGTCCAGAACAAGAACATATTAGAGATTTCTTTCCTTGCACAGCTTGGGTTCTACGGAGTATTCACCTCATGCTGATTCTGTCTCTTTTCGAAAGCCCCATCCCTCGAAGGGGCTTTAGCTAATATTGGAGGAGAGATAAAGGGACATAATTCAGCCAAAATTCTTCAGGAGAAGAAAGGAAGATACATGCCGCATAAACAACCCATGACTTTTGGATATGTCCTATTATTATAAAGAAGGAACTGCTGGTTGGGATTCAGAGCGTATACGAAATGATAATTCATTATTCAATAACCATGGCATAGTCTTGTGGTTGGTACTGTATGTACATTTCATACTTTAATATCATATAATTTCTCATGATCAATTTGCCATGATAGTGCTAACGTCAATTATAGATATACACTGGATACTTGTGCATTTGACTGTACATAATCGGATGTATGCTGTGTTTGATATCCATGTTGTACATTCAAACATACATACAAACACCCCAAACACCATCTAAGTTGTCATGTGAAAAAGGAAAGCAGAGTGAATGCAATGCGATGTGAATACACTCGCACATTTAGTCCCATCTTCCATTTTACCAGTACTTTCTCTACTAGATCTCCACAGGAAGAGACAAACCCCTGCAGTGAGGCCTTTTTTTGTGGTTATCAAAAAACCCCCTCAGTCAAAGCAAGAAGCAGCCTGGAGCGCATTATCTTACTCTCAATTAGAGTTATTCCACTGGCTTGTCTGCAATCGTCCCTTACTCCACTGGAGGTGAGTTTGTTTGCTCTTTCCACTAGTTGTTGGAAATCCCTCTTCATTGCTTCGCCAACCCATGAGTTTTGAGCTTGGCCCCTATCTGCATCAAAATAGCAATAGCTATTTATTTTTACATGTTTATCTTCCCTCTCTCATTAGTACTAACTATCCCTTCCGTAACATCCTCTAGTTTTTCTATCTATATTGGCCTTTTTTCGCTTCCTGGCACGTGGGTTCATTTGATATTTACTCTGGTTTTGGCCTAATATTCCACTATGGGGGATCGTGTGCGTAACGCCTATTCCGGGGGCTATAGCGATGCTATCAAGAGACAGTAAGTTATTCCCGGTACACGTACCAGATAGATGTAGGCAGAACTCACTCACTGAGAATACTAGGCTTGAGAGAGTAGTTATTCCCGAAAGGTTTGATGTCTCCTTCATTACCCAGCTAAGGTTTGCGAAGCTCACAGCCGCCCGTTCCAGAGTCAAGTGCATCACGTGTAAAAAAATGCGTATGCATAGTACATACTCCAAAAGACAGCTCGATGTCCTACGCAATGCAATGGTAGTTCAAGGTGACCGGGCTCTCATGGGTCCAGGGCATGCCAAATGCCGCGAATGTGTGGGCGGCCAAACTGTGGAACTCAGGTGCATCATTTGCGATAAGACCAAGAGTCTTGAAGAATTTGCCAAAGCCCAGAGGCATGATCGTGATTTGGCGGTAAGTCTTGGAAGTTCCCTCTATGTGATGATTTCACATAGCTAACAGTAGTCTTTCATAGAGGTGCTTGACTTGCGTTCAGAACCATACGGAAACAGATCCTGTGATCGAAGAGCAAAAATTACTCACCGAAAGCGAGATGTCTACTGTCCAGGAAACTACTGCGACTTCTGTAGGTCTCCAAAAATTAACATACCTCGCATAGCTGAAGAATTGCATTGACGTATCTGGAGAGCCAGGTGGATGACGGGTATAGCTACAGCACTTCGGTTTATGGCGAAGGTGACAGTGATGATGTCGATGACGATGACGATTACTCTGTTGGGGGGGGAGTCTGGGTCGAGGCCGAACATCCGCAAGAGAGCTCTCGTAGTAAAAGCAACGAGCGTGAATACACTGGTTATGACCAACATGGCATGCCTCATCGCCTTGTTAGCTCTCGTCCAGTTGTTCCAGAAGGCGTTCATACCGGCTGGGCATCTTGGGGGATCACCGCTAATTCGGCAAAAGCCCATGGTCCTCGGGCCAGCCCCTTTGAGAGTTCCAGGTCTAATAAGCCTTCGTCGGTCCAGAAAAAGCCTTCGAATTTTGCAAAAATCCCGGTGAGATCGCAGGCTGGTATGAAGTGACGCTGCAGTGATTGAAACTGACTGCCCTCTGTGAACAGAAAATGCGACCCGAGCGAAGCAGTCCCCCAGCGATGCGCACCCCTGAACCTAGCGGACACAATATACCATATGAAGGCGACGGAGGCAATGACAGTGTCGAAGATTATCTCTAAGCTAATCGAATTCTAGTACATACAGTACCATGGTTGTCTGGATCTTGGATCTGGTAGGATTCCCCCACAATCCAAAAGAGACCGTTCCGTGGTTGACCGGCTGATCCCCTTGATAGTTACGCATGAAAACTTGAAAAGAGAGCGCAACTGAAGATAGCTGCAGGGAGGGAATCGAATGAATTGAATTTTAGTTGACCAACTCAATTGCAAATTGTATTTTCGAATAGCTATTGAATCTAGAACGTATTTGCGATGGTATAAATCTTTGTACGGTGTCCTTACTGTAATGTATGTACATACCTTATGTACATACATACAGAGTACATATATTGTAAGTAGTACTCCGTAACTTGCTTACATACTCTGAGGTCATGAGGATACAAAAAGATGTATGGGGGGGATGACGTATGGCTGTTGTTGGCGACTGAGATTTAATTTAATTGGATTAAATACTACATTTAATAAATTTCTAAAACACTAAAAAAGACCCTCGTGATTTAATCCATCGCAAACAATGCAAATGATCTTCCTTTAGTCCTTACAAGAGATGCTTTGTTCCAAAGTCTTTCCATTTTATGCTTTCTCTCTAGACAACCTGCCAACTGTGTGATTGTTCAAGATCAATACGGAATACTCCAGAGGTACGTACATACATACCTAAGTACTCTCTAGAGTCTGTCCTCCGTACGGGGTACTCCGTACTCTACACAAATTGTGTCACGATCCACTTACTCCAGATTTATCCACTGCAGGGAAACCCCGCAGGTCCCCTCCTCCATACTGTCTTTTGATCTTTGTCGCTCATCTTTGTCCTTTTGCTTCTGACACACACAAAGCAACAGCAAAAAAAAAAAAAGGAGACCGCCACATACGATCGGATCATAATCCAGTTCTCGGTCTATTTGTCATTTTCCTTTTTTGACTGTATCGGTGACTACAAGTCCTACCAGGAAATCCTACGGCCAAATACTCGACGCCTAAGACCCTTCTCCTGATGGCTTACGATGGCTATCAGAACAACTCGGCTCCATATTATCAGACGGGCAATGGGGATCAAATGACCTCGAATGAGTACCGAGCTTCGTCGTACACGCCCCCTTATCCATCTCAGTATGGTCCCGACCGTCTCAATATGCCGCAACCTCAAGTCCCTCCGGCCCCTCCGGCTCCTCCACAAGCCCCAGTGTCTCCATATGCGGAACCTCAACCTCTACCACAACC